AAGTGACATTTTTTCTGCTTCCACTTAATAATTATAAGTACATCTAACAATGATATTAAAATTTAATTTATTATTCGAGAAGAAATTTTCTATACGATTTCATACATGGGCCACTTAAATACATACCGGTCGTTGGCGTTCAATTGACGTATTTGAATATTCCGAACGGCGCACCGTAAAAACTTTTCTGAATGTATAATATTTGTTACATAGTTTATCGTATCTGTAACACAAGTGAAAGTATGAAAAAATTTACTTAAATGAAATAACATTCCCCATTCTAAATATCCTTCGGTAGCTCAGTTGGTAGAGCGGTGGACTGTAGTGGTGTTAAATCATAGATATCCATAGGTCGCTGGTTCAAATCCGGCCCGAAGGAAATTTTTTTATATTTAAAAATTCAAAATATTCACATTTTATTTACATATATATTATAGTTTTGAATAATGTTATTTTAAATTTTAGTGCATATCATTGCAGCAAAAAGGTATCCTTTCTTTTTAAAATTAGGTAACTGAAATTAATTTTTATCTTTTCTCTGTGTAAAATTATAATTTAATTATTTATTACAGATTTTTTTTTTTAATTTTTACAAGAAATATACAATCTATAAAATTAAGTACAATAAGTATATGCGAGATTAGAGTAACAAAACATTATGGGGTTACGTGAATAAGAAGCCACCCATCAGTAGCACTTAGCTTGTTTATTATGTGATTACTTATAACTTATTAGGATTAAGTTAGATGATCCGTATGGCCTATACCATTTCCTTTTCAGCCTACGACGAAAATTTTCAGGAAGTGACGGAATATGTAAGCCTTTTATTAGAGGATTTATTACAGATACAAGTAAAATAACAAATTTCTTATATTTTCTGTATTATTGCTTTCTACAGAATTCGAAATTTAACAATCTATTAACTTGTAATTATTACAATTTTATGATAATTGATTTTGCTTTTATTGAGAATTGAATCCTATATCGAATAATTCGAATATTGTCATATTGATATTATACATATACGTATTGGGAAAAAATAGTATCGAGCTACAATAAAAAAAATAGAAAAACCGTTAATACATATTGTATTATACACTTATTATTCGTTCTATGTTTGAAGATAATATTTACTAAGCGTAGTTACAGTAGTTTAAAAAAAAATATATATAAAATAATTATACATTTTATTTGAATCATTCTTGAACAAGTATGTTAATTTAATATTAACACTGAACAAGTGTATTTATACAGCTGAAATAAATGCTATGTTAATAGCAATTAAAAATACAAAAAAAAAAAAAAAAAATTGAAAACAAAAAATACATTATCTTTACTGACTCACTCAGTGCTCTAATAAATGTAAAAAATAAATTAAATCCTAGTGATATTACACTCAAAATTTAAAATAGACTTAAAGATATGAAAAAAACAACATTAATATAATCATAATATGAATACCAGTGTAAACCTTTTGATATAGTTGGTAACAAAATTCTAGATAAACAAATTAAATTAGTTACATCTGAAACATAATGATTCATTGACATTTCTCCATATGCTGGTATTAAATTAAAAATTACAAAATACTATTTCCTAATAAAAAAATATGTGGTGCAGACAACCATCCAAGTTGATTAACAACTAATTGATCACGAGATGAAGCAAAAACTAATATAATAGCTTAATAAACAAATTAATTTATGCTAGAATTTTTGTCATATCAAACATATATTTTTTTTTATGGAAAAAGCTAACTGTCAATCGTATAGCATTACACTATAAATCTAATAATCAATTATTTTACATAATATATTTAACAATTTCAGATAATTCGAATTTATAGACTTATAATAAATCATACTATTGTTAAAAATGTTTGGTTATTATTTCACCACTATTACCTATTACTATTGTTTCATATTGTCTAAAACTAATGTCATTAAAAATATTAATACGTAACTATACATTAAATGCATTATTATGTTGTTTAATTTTATATTACTTACAATCTACTTATGAATACTTAAGATTAATATCCTTAATAATAGTGTAATTAATAGTATTAACTATTAATGTTTGTTACTACTACTCTTTGGTATTTATCATCGTTGATCTTTAAATTCTAAAACCTTGGCCGTGTTTTTTATCCAAGCGATTATTTATGAGAAGTGTATTTACTTAAATGTAGCTGTTTAATATTAAGTAATATATGTTAGCAGTGATTAAGAACCTCGTTTACCCTTTTAAAGCTAACAAACTATTTTTTTAATATTTAAAACAAAATATTGATAAAATGTGAGTAACAAATTAAAATAATTTGTCAAACCAGCGTTTTTCTGATATTCGTAGATATAAAACTGTACCATATCATAAAATAATATCGACTATTGAAAATTATAAATTACAACTATAAATTAATTTAGACAAAAATACATTAATTCATAATATATTTATACAATATTATTTTAAAAATAATTGTAGAAAACATTTTTATTTTTTTTTTTTTTACATGAAAAACATAATATAATATATAACACGAGAAACATGATTAAAGTGGACACCCATTAGTGACTCTTGGCTAATTAATTAATTTTAATTATTCATACATAAATATATATATTTTTTGTTTTTTATTTTTATTTTTAGAAGATATGAAATAGATGTTTTAGATTCTGACTAAAAATAAAAAAATATGAAATTTTTTACAAAAATCCAATTTTGGACAATATCGATTTTGTTTATTAGTATAACTCAAAAACAATTAACTGTAGATACTTAAAATGTACACCAAATTGTAATATTATTATTTCCAATGTAAAATTTTTTAAATACTTTTTGAACTATTTATAGGCATGGCAAATTTTTAATTTTAATTTTTTATTTTCTTTAAATATTAATTTAAAAAAATATTTACTGGGTCAAAATTCTGAAAATTTAAAAAAAGATTCCTCTTGAAGTCATAATTATTTCATATTGAAATTATAAAATCTAATAATATATAAAAACAATTAATTCTTATAGATATTTTAAGTTTAAATTTGTACAGAATTACTTATTTAAATGGTAAATAACAATATTAATTATTCTGTTATAATTTAAAAACATTATTCTTAGAAACTTAGAATATGTACATATCATTATGATATAATATTATACATTTTTGCTATACGCAATTACATTATTGATTCATTTTAAGATATTAAAGTATGAACCCATTTTTACTGTTTTACGGTATTTACAAAAAGATGTTATTCAATTTTAATTTTTATATAAGTTGATATAATATAATAAATGCAATTCTTTTGAAATTAATTAAATCAACTTACCGCAATATTAAATAAAAATAAAAATGGCATTAATAGCTAGCTGATACATCAAAAAACACACCTTAATGTATAAATATTATAGTAAAATATAGTCAGATAGACGGTCTCCGCTCTGAATCATTTTTTGTATACAATGATTTTATCATTGAATTCAAATTTAGCACATCCATAACAGTGACCCACTCGACATCTAATGTATAGCTGAGCGGTACCCACTTGCCTACCTTTATTTCCTTTGTAGAGTATATTGGAAAATGTAAGTAATATCATTAGAGTTCTGAGTTAATAATACGCATTATATAATAAAATTGTCCTACTAATATTATCATCGACATAAAATTATTAAATGAAATCAATACATTTTGTAATAGTCACTATAATATTATATGTTATATTTAACTTATGTCATGTCTACAAATTATTACATAATATTCTCTCCAGTCAAAAAATCCATTGACAATATCTTATTCTTGAACATAGTTTCCTAATATTGTATATAAAATGTATACTATTCACTATGCAGACGCAATCAAATAACAATAAGTTAAATCACTGACTTAAATTGTGTTATAGATTATATTTTACACCAAATTATTACATTTTAAATGTAATTTTTTTTATACGTGACGTACAATGTGATTAAACAACAATATATTATATCTATTTGTAAATGAATCGTTATTATTTATTTATGTTAAATTAAATACTATTAGAAAACTAACTGTTCAGTAAAATTAAAAATCAATAAAACTAAATACATTCTTTCATAGGTTTGTGTTTTCTAATGTATTAATATAATTAACATATTTCCTTTATTACGGATGTTCTTCGTACCAAACAATGAACTATTTCTTGTTTTGTGCATAATTAATATGCTAGAAAAAAAAACAACTATCGTCATCGAAATGACATTTTCGTGTACACGGAAATTTCATATTCTAAAGACTGTGTGACTTGTGGTCGCGGCGAAGAATCGTCAAAATATTCTTACAAATCCAGCACAAATGCATCAATGTTATTGTAGCTGTCTAAGCTATCTATTAATATATACGCCGAGTTATTGGCGCGGGATTCTCACATATTACCTATATGGTTCCATACCCATATTATAGGGCTATAAATATGTGTGTGTGTGTGTGTGTGTGTGTGTGTGTGTGTGTGTGTGTGTGTATGTGTCTTCGAAAATCACATAATCAGTAGTTACATCCGACGACCATAGTTTAGTGGTGGATTGCCTTTCTAGTAAGTAATTAATTACTAAGAGGATCGCGCGTGTTAGCATGCATTTGAAAACAAGGTGACATCGATTCATTGTTAAAACATTTTTATTGTTTTTTTTTCGTTTTTTTAACTTCACGGGACGATGGATATCACATAATCGCTTACTATTCTTCTCTACGAGAGAGATACGCGATCCCCTACCGTTTACAACGGTTACACCGACGGGGCGTCATACGCTCTATCATTCGTTCTGGAACGTTGGTGATATAAATTTCCGGAGGCTGATCTGATGACCATTAATTGTCTCCTACACGTCTCAGCACGCGGTCAGTTTAGCACAGAAAGAATACAAGATAGCAGTGTCTCGTTAAACTAAATACTATGTAAATCTGACGTTATTCATAAATTATTTAATCAATAGTACATGTTTCTATTTGTAACCGAAAAAAAAAAACTATACGCAATTTTAGGTTTTAATTAAATCGTAATTCATTTTTATTTGTTTATTCATAATAATTAATAAATCGTCAACATACGGATCAGACGTAGCTCACCACAGTCAATACAACTCGTTCTGTTTGAACCATGCAACCTGCAGACAAATTGCTTAAGGCGTTCTGCGTAGCATTAGCCACGTTATTACTCGCCAACGTCGCATACACGTCAAAAAAAGTAAGGGCATATATAAATATTATCACTATTGAATTGTCTGTTGAAAAACGAAAAAAGCACTCAAATATTCGCTACGAGATGTTTATCATTTCTAAAGAAACTATGACGTAAATACTACACGAGTTTTTATATAAAATCACCAGAGTAATATTAAAATTTAAAAGATAATTTTTTTTTTTAGTTCAAGTATTTTGTTATAATATCAATCTTGTTTGGTGTTATAAGCTTTAGATTAAATAAATTATTAGTCTCTATTCGAAATTATTTTTTTTTTATTTGGTTTATCAATAAATAATATTTTTAATTATCACCATTAGTTTTGATAGAAATGTAATTTATTTATTAAACAATGACTTGATGAATTCGTTTATATTCTATTATTATTGCTAAAGCGTTTTTTTTTTTTTTTAATTTAACTTAAAAAATAGTAAGTAATTAAAATGATTATTTGTAATGCAATAAAATTTTCAAACTGTTGATATTCAATACAATAAATTATTTAATAATAAAAATTTGACTAGAGAATTTTATTTTAAATAAAGTTTAATTATTGTTTATGCATTAGATATTTAATATTCGAAATGGTAGATTTGTTTATAAAAACTATTTAGTTCGTTTGATAAATTAATTTCAAAGAACTCGAAAACCAAATAAACATTTTTCTGAATTTAAAAAATAAACGTAACATAAATTTAAAATTTATCTAATAGAATAAAACAGGTATTCATTTTGTTGATTTATTTTCTTTTAAAATTTACATTTAATAAAGCTTGATAATTTATTATTATAATAAAATTATTTAAACATATATTTTTCTTAAATTATCATATTATTATGAAAACACTTATTACTTATTACGTAATAATAATAATAATAATTAATATTATTTATTTTATGCGTTCAAACAGTATTTTTTGAGTTAATGTTTGGATACTAATTCTGGATTCTGATTTGAAAATTGTATTAAATTATGTAAGAATAATGAATTAAAACATCTAAGAAAAAATTACATTTCAATAAGATGACGGTTGTTAGCCTCGCTGCTACATTTTTACCACGACTTATTTCATTATTTTCATATTTTTTCAAAATAAACAAACACAATATGTAGCGATTACATGATAAAAACGAACGGAACATAATACAATAATAGAATTATTGATTTTCTATTCTATAGATATATGATATTTCTATTTAAAAATGTCATGTATTATGTATCATCGTGTATATTATTATCGTGTACAATATTTTTTTGAACTATTCTAGATTCTGAACGAGACAATAAATATATTAATTTTACAATGATATGTTTTATATATAAACACAATAATAAGTTATTAAAATGGTCTGATTTTCAACTTTGGGGTTGGTTTCAGACAGAAAATTCAAACTAGTTTACATTTTAAAGATGTCAAAACTAAATATTCTCAGTATTTATCAAAATAACTTAGAAAAAAAACTAACTAGAATTTTTACGCAATTTAAGTTTTTATCAAAATTTATTTTGTTTTTAACATATTTCTATTATCTTTGTTCTATTTGTAGATACTTAAACATTATATATATATATATATATATAAAACAACATATTTTGCCTGGTTGAAAAGCAAAAAAATTTAATACGAAGTTCCACATATATTTTATAGATACATAAAAATAATTAAATTAATATATCGTATGCAATTATATATTATTAAATGAAAATTTAACACACTCATACAGTGATCCTCTCAACAAAATCTTAAAAATACATATTATTTTTTAGTTAGAAATACACAAAATAATATAAATTTAAAACAAAGATTTGAAAATTTATACAATGTCCTTAGGAAGTTTTTTAGCAATTATAAGATAAGAAAAATTAACAAAAAGCCAAATTAATATTACAGGAGCATTTGAAGTTTAAATTTTCACAAAATTGAATATTTATCCTTATAATAATTATTTATTCCAAACAATTTTACAAATTTTATTTTTTCTATATTATATGATAAAAGTTTTAAAATATTTTAACTCATTTTAAGTTTTTTATAAATGTCAATGAAAATTATTTTACTGAATCAAAATTCTTCAAAATGTGATATGCAACTCTCCCCCCCCCCCCAAAAAAAAAAAAAATAGCAATAAACATTATTTCATAATTAGAAATTTATAAAAATTTATTTTTATACCTTTTTTTTAAAAAAATGTAGTTTTTTAATAGAAAATCTATTACAATAATTAAACAATAAGCTTAATTGATATAATATTGTATACATCACGAGAAATACAGAATTAAGAGGCCTTCTAGTGAAAGTACTTTGTCAATAAATAGTTATTGCTAACTTATACGCGTTTTTATTTACATTTTTTTCTGTTTATTATAATAACTGATGTATTATGTATTTTATATTCATATCAACGGGTTACAACATCACTTTATTTTTAGTCTCTTTTGAGGATTACCAGGTATGGTTCAATTTTTTCATATCTAAGTTTTGAAAATTAAGGAACTTAAAACTTTTACGTACTTATATTATCTATTTTTTCTTTTATATAGTATTTACAAAAAGATGAGATTAAATTGTAATTTATATAAACTTATATACTGTATTATAATTATATATTTTTATAATAATTAAACACTTCATTAAACAAGAAAAAATTATATCAAATTATATCAACCTACTATAATACAAAAAATAAAATAAATGAGTTTAATAACTGTGCAAAAAAAATATACATACCACGAAATATACTTACTACTTAGTGATATTATAAGCTGATAGACTGCTTTCATTTTTCATTTTTTTTCTTATGAATCATATATTATTAAATTAAAATTTAGCCAAATGACCCACTCGACACCTAATGTACAGTAAAATAATATTATCTTGCCTACCTTGTTTTTATCATCGAGATGTAAATTTGAGGTATATTTTTCTCCAATAATACAGTTATCTATGTAAGTATAAATATTGAAATACACAATTTAAAATTCATAATAAAATAAAAAAAAAAAACTTACCATTATTATTATTGTATAAAAAGATTCATCTATAGATCGTTCCAAATATTACTATAGGGCTCGAAAATTGACGACCTTAAAAACATTAAATAATGATCTAAAAAAGTGAAAATATGACTTGAAAATGACCTAAAATATAATAAATATTTGTTTAAAATTAATAAAAAATATATATATATATATATATATTTTTTTTTTAAATAGTTATAATAATTAAAATTACTCAAAATTATTGCATTATACTATTAAAGCATATTTCATATTGCCAAAAATAAAAGTAACAAATAGCAATTGCTTTTTTCTATCGAATTTTTATCTTTACTTAACCCTTATACAACTTGTGTAAAATATTATTCTATAAAATATAAATATTTGATAGATGTACTTATGTAAAATCAGCGTAAAACAAAAACTATGCGTGTAAAGATGTTAATTGACAAAATCTAATAATTATAAATACAATAAATTGAACTAAATAGGAAAATAGGACCTAAAAATGACAAAAAATAACTTATAAAGTAAAAAAGTCAAAAAATACGAAAAAAATGCAAATAAAAATTAGTGATTTAGATTCACATATTTATGAAACACATTTGTGGCAAGGAGAGCATTAAATAAGTTCTAAAGTTTAATAAGTTTCGAAAAAAAAAATGTAAAATTCATTAACTTCCGAGCCTTAATTTATAATAGTTTGAAAACTAATCAACTTTATATTAATATTATTTTGTTTATTTTATTTTAATACGGTTATACTGGAAAATAACACATTAAGATAGATAACTAATATTAACAAGGCATAAACAAATGATTCACTTTTCTTAAGCTTAATAAATATAATACGACTTAAAATAAGCGATGACAGAGCACAGAAACCCTAAGTGGTGGGTTTATTTTCAATTTTTTACAATAAAAAACAAAAATAAATACATTCACTATATTCTATAATAATTAAGTATGCGTTTATCTATAAATATTACAATATAGTAGACAGCTACTTTATGTTTAAGATTCATGTGATAACTACAATACAATACATTTAGTTTTTCAATTTAGAATTATATACCAGTTTTCAATTTTTTCAATTATTCGTTATTAGTTCATACTTTTTCTTCTAAAAATATTATTAGTCTTAAAATAAGAATACTGATGACATAATCTGTATTATTAGATCAAATTTTATTCAGTTAATTTTCTTACATTTAAATTTGATTATATAAGTCAATTTATTCTGATATTAAAACCAACAAAAATAAATTTGTCCTGCTAAACGAAAATACTTTACTATAATACTGAAAATGTAACTTGATAGTTACAAGTTTACAAACGTATGGATGTAACGTCCTCAGATAAATATTTTTTTTCATAAAAATCGCAAAATCCTAGGTTTCATTTCCTGTACTATTTTTTGATAAGTTATTATAGTTTATATATCATAATAACTGACATGTTTAAAATATAATTTGGCCTATAAGTTATATCTAACATGTTTATTATAAATTCAAGTAATTTTTTCTACAGCAAAAACGTCAGTTATTCCATGAAAACTTGTTGCCATACTTTGGAGGTAAAATACCTGAGTCTGCATTCCAAGCAGACCGTTTGGCATTAAATATGTTGAACAAAGAAGGAATATCCGTACCCGATGGTATTTTGTTTGAAGCTCGACCAAAAGAATCGTTTCACCAAAGTCCTCGGAATGATCCAGAACTATCCAACTCAATACTCAAAATGATCCACACACCAGAAAACAGGTAAATAATATTACAATTTATTAGTATAATGATAACATTAGTATATAATACACATTCTAAAGATATAGATTTATTTTGGAAATTTATATTAGTATGATTTAATTATAAATAAAACATCAAATCAAATTTTATTAATTTTTATTCAAATGTCATTAAATTTAATACATATATAAAAATATGTTTATCGTATATTTTTAATAATAACTTTTTAGTTAAATAGTTTAAATACTTGTAATCAGAAAACAAAATATTTTATGGTGTTTGGTAGACGTTTAAAAGCTAAAATAGATGATACTTCATGTACCCTTCATTCTTTATTTTTAGTTGAAATGAGGTTTGTATAGACCTAATTTATACTATAGAAAAGTAGCTTTTTGACCCCGAATACTCAAAAAAAAAAAAAGAGTTTTTGAAAGCAATATCGCATTAAATTTTAATTTTGATACAAACAGTTATGGATATTTATTTATTTTTTTAACTAATCTTTAGTTAAATTATATACCAATTATGCATATAAAAACATTATTTTTCATAACAAATGGTATTTTAAACACTTGATCTTATAACGATAAAACTACCATTTGGCATTATAAAAATTTAAATTATTATACATTCCTCAATACACATTAGTTTATAATTGTGAATATAAAATCTATGTATACTAAATAGAAGGTGTTTTTTAATTTTATTAATAGATACCTTATATAGTAGGCACCTACTAAAATGGTAATTTTTTTATGAATTCAGGACAATCCTAAATCATAATCAGGTGTAGCGTTTCAAGTCAAGTTTTTTGTCTTGAAATTAGGTATATTTCTTCAGGAGGAAATTATGATGGTAATAATGAAGTGGAAACAACATATAAGATTCCAATACCCACATATATGCAAAATTACCAACTACCGAAGTTTAGGCCCATAACAGAAACGCTTCAACTACCAGTGCGGCAGGTATTTGAGAGCGGATTGTCAATCACTAACTTCAGGGGACCACTAGGAGTTCCCTTCAATACTATGCCAAAGGTAAACCATCTGTAAAATAATTGTCAATTATCCAGTATGGTTTTTTCCTAATTATTAGGTCCACTAATATATTCTTCTTCAATAATTTTTAGTAAATATATATTAATATTAGATGATTTAAGATTCTCTTTCTAATATTTTATACTAGTTTACACTAAATATAAAAATATTTCAATTATACTTTTAAACTATTTGTGAAGTTTTACCTTTTTCATTTATTTTATACACTGTAGATACTCAAACGAGTTTATAAATATTTATAAAATTTACGCCAAAGTTATCATAATTTAATTTTTCAAAGGACGTACAAATACAAAATGTAAATAAATAATGATATTATATTGAAAAAATATCTTATGATCAAATTAATTTTTTCTTCAACTCTTTACTAAAATTATAAAATTTACTCGAAATATTGTAATTATAATACTTAAAAAATAAATTAAATATTTTTATTTTTTTTTTTTTTTACTTTTATTTCAAGTCCTCAGTTTATTAAAACCATTTACATAAAAATAACTTTAACTCATTATTTTGTATTTTATAATTAAAATAATATGATTCATAGAAAGTATAATTATTTCATAAAAAAATAGTGACTCACGCGAAATGCATTGTTAACGTACGTATGTGAATTGTTTATGCTATATAATTTTCTATGAACAATATGCCCGTCTAAATTAACGAAAAAACTATACCTTATATTATATTTGTCGTTATTATTATATTTTTTTTATGCACGCTCGACACATTATACGGATGAATGCATTACATTTGTCATGATTACCATTTAGGTATCATTTCCATTAGCATCATTAAACCATCATTTTATGATATTACACAATCACGTTTTAATGAGTCTCTCGTTTCCAGTTTATTTCAATAAAAACAATTTAATGAACAATTTGAACACAGATATTTTTATATTTAAATTAAATTATAATCCTATTCATCACAATTAAAATCATCTAAATTTAAAATATCTACCATTGAATGTTTTAATTTTAATTTAACTCTAAGATATGAAACTGAATAATTATAATTTATTTAGTTTAATCTAAATCTTGTTTAGTATAATATGAGTATATCTAAATATCTAATATATTTATCTTGAGTGCTTTTTTAATCATATTGTAATTCGTTCAATTAATTATTAATTATAATTTTGCATAGAATAATGATATCTTTGATACTGAATAAGTATAAAATATTTAAATAAAATTATGAAAAATTATAATACCGAATAATTGTGATTATTAAGAACTTAAAATACACATAATGTCTCTTTAATGTTTGTATAAAAAGTATTGTATATTTTATCATCCACACACTTTATTTTTAATTGTTTTAAGTAACATATAATATGTACTAAATTTTAAAATGCAAAAAGGGTAACCCCCGAGTTGTTGAATCAAATCCCCTAAAGAGTTCAACATGGGCCAATGAGGAATGTTGTGACCTATAAAATAATACTTTATTATAAATATATAATAAGTAAAACAATAAAAATAAAAATAAAATTTTAATTCACAAGGATTAAGGATTTTAAATTAATATAATATGAAATAATAAATGCTGTTAATTATTATAATACGTAAAATGTAAAGAAATACTCATTTTACCGGATTTCAATTTACTCAGAATAAAAAATATATACGATACAAGTACAGAAAATATATGTGTGAAATCTTATCTTTTTTATTTAGCTATATCATTAATTATTTTTATTGTTCTAATATTTGTAACAGATTGAATAAATAAAAAAACTATAAAAAAAAAATTAAAAAAATATGTGTGAAAGAATTGAAATATTTTGTTTTATGATAATCATTATTTATATTAGAAGAAATATTCTTATATTTAAAATTTGATATTTTTACATTAAAAAATATATCTGCCTAGCCATACAAGTCCATTGTAATTTTATTATCGTGAAAGTTATTTTATAGTTAGGTGTTACTTGTTATACGATAAAAACAAATAATTAACTAAACAATAAATGTCCTGTTCCATAACAAAGCCACGCACTAATATTATAACGTTATAAATAATTTGATAAATAATAATAAATCATTTTTATAAAAAAAAATGTCAAATTGAATTGTGGAATGATACATAGTAAATAATGTATATCTATAAATAATTGTACTTTTAGTTAATAAAATTATCAACAACTATTTTCACTTCAATCGACAATGGGTACGTTGCATGACAAACTCATAACGTATAGTTAACAACGTAGTAGAAAACGATAATAAACGCAGTACCTACATAACCTGTCATTTTCCAAAACAGTATAGATAACGGTTTATGAATTTAAACCTATTGGCTGATTTGTTCTTCAAGCACTGAATGTGTCAATACGTCGTTGTCGTGATTTGGTTTGTTTTTTTTTTTTTTTGTAGACATTTAAAAATATAATAGCTTTTATATACTTTATATATTTATACTTATTTATATCTAAAATAATAAATTATAATGCAATATTGTAGTGTTAGGGTGGGGAGTAAATGAAAAACTAACACAATGACAATACAACAGTTATCCAATATTAATCATTTATCGATCACCTGAAAATTCTATACCAGGAAATTTAATAGGTAGTACATTAAACTAGGAAATAACATCCTATCTAAATATAATATCTTTCTAATACTATGGTTCTGAGAACTAATAGATATTTCTTTTTAGACCGACAGTCTTAATAATACACTAATATCAAATCAATTTTATCATTCACTAAATTATCTAACATTAAGTAGAAAATAATATAATACAATAAACAACCACTAAAAAAAATAATATGCTACTATTTATTTATTTAGTATTATAACAAAATAGTTGGTTTCAAAAAAGTGTACAATTAATTATCAAATTTTGTAGATTTATTAACAAAAATTAATTTACATTTTTGAATGCATTCGATGTCATGATTTAATTACATGCCAACTGTGTTTTTACACTTGAACAGTTTAAAATACATTACTGCAATATTATTTAATGATGTACTCGTAATTCATAATCAATACATATTTAAATAAAACTTAATCTTTTAAAAAAAATAATAAATAAATATTAAAATAGTAATTTTTATATAATTCTAAATAATGAATAATAAATAATAAATTCAAAATCATATTGTGCTTTATCAAAAATAGTCTATTCCTAGTATTTTGTGAACACTTACGATTTCTTATTCTATTTATATTCGTATATATTACTTAATATATAAATATATAATCCAATATTATTTAATAAATCATTGTACATTTATAAAATTTTATAAATATAAAAAAAAAAAAAAAATACAATACTACAGATATTAGAATTATAATTGTAAATTATAACTATTTAATTACAATGAATGCTTATAGGTATTTATTCAATTTTCTGCAATAAATTTAAAAATGATAATTATTACAGTATAAAAGAAATATTAAATACATGCTAATAAAATACCTCTAAATAAACTAAAATAATCTCCGTCTATTAAAGGAGAAATTACGGTTTTATTTTCTAAAAAAAATATAATATCATACTTAACAGTCTCGAAAAAAAAATTAAAACAGTGTTACAAGAAATAAGATAGAAGCATGACACTAAACTGGGTAATCTTGATTTTTTTACTTGCGTGACTAATTAATTTGGAACTATCTACATATATATATATGTGTGTGTGTGTGTGTGTGTGTGTGTTTGTGCATATTATTGTATCTAGAGTCGGAGTATTTACGCATGGTCGCTCTTGAAAACTTAAAAAGGGACTCTGAAATGTATAGTTATAGTACTTACCTATATTTGATTTTAGTCTAGTCCTGAACATTATTTTTCATACGTTTTTATTTATATTTATTATGACTATATTTCTTAATTTATGGGCATTTCCAGAGTGCTAATATAAATTTACAATTATTCAAATGTCCATAACAATGATTAATTAATACATACCTAATCTGTTAACTGTAATGACCATATAATCAACAATGCATATTACATATTTATTATAGGTTACACACTTACAGATTTGCGAATAGTTTGATTAACTTATACAACACATTTCAACAGAACTTAATATTTTCCATGAATAAAACTAATACATTTGATATCTAAAAATTAGTATTTTTGTATAAGCAAACTGTAAATACATTTTTAATTAAAAAAATAACTCGTAGGAAAACTTGGATATTTACAAAATGTAATATAATTTAACTTGTTCTTCTCTTACTCACAATTTTTATCTTTATTAAATACTTACACAATTATCAATAAAGATTTTTTGTTCTCTTAAATATAATATTCTAAATATCCTGTGCTATACAAGTTTTATTTATTTTGCATTATATTAAAACATTTGACATTGCATTAAAGTTAATATATTTTTTAATTTTTGTTGTAAAATGTATATAGTATAATGGTGTTGAATAGCTAATTAAAATAAAACCATTAATTAATGTACTATTGATACGTATTTGTATATGTGCAATTTAAATTATTATTTTAATAAACAATTATACACCGCTATTCAAACAAATTTAATTTATTTATCAAATAACCAAACTATCATTTAACAATCTTTATATTTGTAAAAATATTGATAATAATTTAATTATATTAAGGATTATTTTAAAAATAAATAAATAAGCAATACATAATTAATTTGTATTTTACATATTGTGTCCTATTGTCTACCTTTCTAATTTTTCAATATAAAATCTATTATAAACTATTTATATGTGTATTAGTTTTAGTTATATTCTATAATTATACTAATTTAAAATTCTGAATGGGGCAAAAATGTATTGATTTTAGAATGACGTGTTTGTTTTTTTTTTCGCATGTGTGTAAAATGGTATTCATCACATTTTGAAGCAAAAGTACTTTAAATTTTAACTTTAGAGATAGTTCCTTGTAGCAAATGAAATTTAGTTGAAACTCTTAAGGTAGGAAGTAGAAAATACCTAATACTTTTAAAATTAATCAGGAAAAACAATAACAACAAT